ATTAATTATTAAGAGTTAGATTAAATAAGAGTTATTACTTTATTAATTAAATATATATAAAGAGGTATATAATTAGTTAGCTTTAAATCTAAAAGTAAATATAATAATATTAACAGGAAAAGTAATATTTAAAATAAAAATTAAAAGTTTATATTAAGTTTATATATATAATATATAATAGACTATTTTTTAAATTTAATATTAATATTTATTTAAAAATAAAACTTTTAATTATATTACTTAATAACTTTATAAAGAAACATTATAAGAGAATTCAGCTATATTATAGATATTATAAAAGTAACCTACTAAACTGTAAGAATACGTCAATCGATATTGTATTACTTGCATAGCCGACGGGCACTCACTAATCGAAATCGGGACCTTCTCTATAGGATGAACTTTGGGGTAACGGCATGATCGCACCAATGCGAGGCGGGCAACAATAGAACAATGAACGCTGCAACTGTTGGACAATAGGCAAACACCCCGTTTGTCTGTCTACCTGGCTGTCATCAGTTATGTCGTTGAGAGGACCAATTTCGCTACAATGCTTCGGTACCCCACAAGACTAGTCCGTTAAGGGTGCTGTATATGATGGTCATGGATGGTAAGTTAAACCATAATCCCATGGTGCCGGTGGTGGAGAAAGGTGATGGAAATAATGCAGATCTAATCCGGAGTTCTGAAAGCTTGAAGCAATACCGATCTAGAGGGTAAGGGTTCTTGAGGGCGCAAGCCACGTAAGCAGCTTCTGGTATTGCGAATGACCTGTAGCTTCTCAGCTTCATTAGCGACGAGCCGGTGCTTGTGACTTGTGCCTCGTCACTATTCAACCCCTCAAACTTGAGCAAGTTATCAACACCGGCTCGGCCCCACACAAGCCCAACCAATCGCTACCTGATGTAAGACAAGGATCAAGCACTCTATGGCTCGTGTCAGCTCCAACGATGCGGTTGATTCTGTCAAATAGCTCTACGAGTTGCTTTCAATATAGCATTTTGAGTTGAGACTTGCCTAGCAAGTTTCAAGGTTCGAGCAAACATCATCACCATGGCTGTCTCCAAATGTTAGTAAGACCCAAAATACAAAAGCAAAGCTAGCTATTGCTAATCAAGCAAACAGTTCCAATGCCAGTGTTTCTCTTTTCCCATGGCACGCCCATGATGCTCGGTGAAGACAGCAATTCCCGAGTCATATGGGAGCAGGTTGGAGCTGAGGCGCGGAAACGCGGCGTCAAGCGCATTGTTATAATGGTTAGTCCACCAATATCTACATGCTAGACTTACAGGCTCTAACTCTTACCAAAAGGGCGCGCATTGGATCTGCGGCGGTGAAGGCGTGGAAGTCAACATGAATCCTAATGGCAAAAAACATCCCGTTGGAGGTGTCACTGATGCTCGTTGGCTTCCCTACAAGCTCACCGCCGACATTGAAGGCGGTGAGCGTGTCATCCAGATGCTTCGCGATGCGGGCATCAAAGCCACGCCAAACTACAAGTGGGATTGGATTCATGACAGTTTTAACGTGCTCATCCGCATGTTTCCCAATCACGTGCCTCCTCCGACAGTAGTGATTTCATGCAACGGTTTCTTCGACCCTCAATTCCACGGTAAGGTCGGCGCTGCGTTACGCCCTCTTCGCTATGAGGATACCCTCATTATTGGCAGCGCAGGAACTGTTCATAACCTCTACCGGGCGCATTGGTGGGAGCTTATGATATATACGGACAACCTCGCTATGAAGCGTCCGCCTGAGGACTGGGCCATGCAGTTCCGCCAGCTGATGGAAGACGCTGTGCTCAACAACCGAGGGCCGCATCTTCGACGCGCACTGGCACGGTTGATGAAGCATCCGCGATTCCGAGATGCACACGGAACAGATGATCACTTTGTGGCAAATATTTTTGCCGCGGGGGCAGCAGGTGCTCTCGAGGATCTGGATAGTGAGAATGAGAAGCTGGGTGAGGCAGACTGGGAGCTTGGAAACTTGGCGAGCCAGCAGTATCAGCTTGGTAAATGGGAGTGACGTTGGCAACCCAGACATCCAGAGGTTATGGAAATTGATGCGTGTAGGGTATGAAATTTGAATCAGTTCTTGAAGTATGAATACAGATGCCCAGATTAGCAGTGTGCGAGGCTAGTAGCGAGCTTACAAAGAATGAAGAATGATTGCTTTAATGTACATTGGTCATAGAACAGAGAATATGGTGGTTCAGTAGTTGGTTAAGGCTCAATGTGTGTATGATCGATCGTCTACGTACGTCCTTCATACATCTCCATATACATCAAAATTTGCCCCCGATCGGCGTGTCGCCGTAGTACGGCACAATGCGTTGAACTGTGTTTAGCCACAACTTTGCAACAAGCTATTCGTACTGTTAGGCATTTCTTGAAGTTCTCATTGACTCTGAAACTCACGGACTGTGCCCAGCAGCCTGTTAGCATCACCCTCGCACCGACATTATATGGGAAGCTCTGGGCACGTAGAGTAAGGTCCAGCTCTCTGTTGGGCGGTCGAATTGGTGGAATCTCTCGCCACCCGTCAGTCCAATCCGCACGCTGTGGTGCGGACGTGTCCCATGGATGATCGTTGACGGTCCTGTCGAACTCTGCCGGCTGGATGTCCCAGGTCCGAGGCGTTGAAGACGCAGCAGACGACGCTTTAGTTTCCTCATCCTGAGCATTAGTGACGTGGAGGCCGTAGTCAGAAGCTAAATGAAGCGTTCCACTGGGGAAACGCTGCGGTTGTGCAACATGCAGCTCTTGAGTTGATGTGGTGGCTGAAGCCATGATGGTGCGTTATCTGGTGACTAGTGAAGATTAACGATGGAGAGAGCGACAAAGGAGGATTTGGAGATGGATTTGGAGACATACCCAGATGACGTATAAGGCCTCAGTCACATTTCATCGGAATGTAAGTTCCACATTACCGGGTGTTTATAACTGGCCTGGTTAACTCAATTTGTGGAGCCGGATATCAACAACCTTCCTGACGACCACCGGCTCCATCGGGCTACATCGTACCGACTAGACAATGTAAATACTATCGTCTCGGGTTTCCTTACTTTACCATTGCTATCACTCACTGCACTGACTAACCTTCCAGTATCCCCGACCTGCTAAGGAGCTTCTTTGATCACTTTCCACACTACCCCAAAAGTACTACAGATCATGGCAGCCAACTATGATGTGGCTTTGACAGCCTCCATTGTTAACGTGTTGGAGAATCCAATCAACCGTAAAAGGCAGCTCTTGTCACTCTATGAACTTCTTGTTCGCGACTTTAACGTTCTTCGAGAAGCTGTCCGTACAGGTAATAATACTTCGTTTGCATAACTCAGATGGATCAACATAGCTGATTTCTTGCAACTAGATCTCCAATGGACAGACGATGTCGCCATAGAAGCCATTAACCAAGTTCTCGGTGCTATAGAAGCTGTCTATCCCGATATATCTCTGGCAGACGAGCTGGAAGTGGAACAAAAGCTTTCAGCTGGGACAAGAATCGAGCACATAGAGCAGCCCTTGTCCCTGACACTAATAATAGGTAGCGGGCAGAACCCTCTCGGCTCAACGCTTCTCCCCCTGGTCGGCGCCCTGGCAGCAGGCAGTGTGAGTATCATCGTGCAACCCGAGAGAACAGATAAGACATCCTCGACACTCAGTACTATTCTCAGCCAAGCTGTCGACCATGAGGGTGTCCAAACTGTGCCGGCCTCTGCTCTCGACAAGCTTCTGAGGAACCGCTTCGATGCAGTGGTCGTCCCGCCATCATATGACCCCAAGGCTATTCGACAGCTTCAGTCAGTCAATGCAGCCATTCGTGTGCTTCAGCCTGGCTCTGGACTTGTCGCTGCCATTGTCGATCGAAGCGCTGATCTGTATTCCGCCTCTGTCCAAATTCGAAATGCTTTCTGGAAAAACGAGTCTGGCAAACTATTTGGCGGTCCGAAGATTGTTTTTGTCGACGAGTTTGTCTTGGATGATTTACAAGAACATCTGCGGGACCGCCAGAAGGGATTCACAACACGTCGGCCCACCAAGTCTTCAGCCAAGCCAGCGTCCAATGTTTTGCGGATATCGACGCGCGATCAGTACGTGAAACCTTTTCACATCTAGCTAACTAAGCTAACAGCTCTCATCAGGGCACCTACCATAACTTCTCCTGCACCTTCGTGGGTAGTGAAAAAGTCTATCGCCAAGTAGCTGCTGACCCCTTGATCTAGGCCATTAACTGCCGCTTCTGTGAAAGAATTACTGCGAGACACCAGTATCGCAAAAGATTCCATACTGATAGTGCCGACGACGAGTACTGGCCATACTCTGGACATGCTCAATCTTTTGTAGGTACATGTGAGGGCGTTATTTCTTTCATCTAGGTACTGATCATCCTCCAGGATTGGCGACAAGGTCGCTCCAGCTGTATATGTTTTCTCAACTGGCCCCGAGGTTAGCTTCTTTTCTCGGTTTCTACGTTCTCAAGTCACAATTGCCAATTCCATCCCGCCTTGGGCTCTTGGTAAGTGAATGTCTTGTTCCCTTAGACAAGATATCTAACCAGAGATGCTAGTGAACTGGATTCCCCAGTCTCCGAACGCAACAAGCATCGTGCCCTTCGCTCCTCGTGACTTCACCAACAATCACCCTGTAGTGCAGTTTGAACCTATCAAGAAAGAGTCAACACAGGTGCGGAGCTTACCTAAGAAGGCCGTCCTAAAGATGGACAAACGAAGAGAGACAGGGCTAAAGTTGAGCTTCTTTGAGCGTGGAATCATTATTGGAGGCATTGGTCTACTTGTCGGCACTCCAGGGGCTATTTATGCGATTACTCGTGGTTTCAGGGCTCTCTATCCCGCGATTAGTTCGCGATTCTCTTAAAAGAGTCTGCTGAGTAGTGCATGACGATTGTATAGAGGCTCATTTCTACTATCCTCGTGATATTCCATAGTATAGACGCAGCACATCGGATAAGCCTTTGTCAGACTCCTTCGATTGTATATTCTGATGATTATATTAGCTGGACTCTTACTGACCCTTCTGTCTATGCCAATTTAAAGCTGCGATTAGCGAGTAAAGCGTCTCCAGCCTTGGAGCTGAAACACCACGTTTCCTCGCTAGCTCTACAACTTCTCCTACAATCACGGCAACTTCTGCTTGCTTCCCTGAAAGGATGTCCGCCATCATGCTCGGTTCAACGCCCGGCCACTTCCGTGCAGCGGTCCGCTTAAGTTGATGCTCGATGACTGCTTCATCTAGAGATCCAGGCCCCAGCACCGCATTTCCCACTGCGACTACCTCTCTCATGACCCCTTGGGCGCAGTCCATTGCCACGGGCGATGTGCTCAGAAATTGTACATCTCGACATTGGGACAAAGCACAGATGGGATTCCACGCAGCATTGGCTACTAGCTTCTTCCATCTTTCTATCTGAATGCTGGGGTGCACCTCGACTGATGCTCCACCAGCTTTCAAAAGATCTGCCAGACTAGCAATGATGGATGTATCATCTTCCAAAGGGCTCTGTGCTGAAAAGCTTCCAATGCACAAGCGTAGTGACTCTGTGTGGCAAATACCAGTAGGTGAAACTTGTGTAGTTGGCGAGTACGTCACACCAGATATGATGCAAGTATTTGGAAATAGATCTCGATAAGGCTGTTCAATTCCGATGCCATTCTGAATGAGCACGACAGCAACATCGGGACTGTGCTTTACTACCGAGGCAACCAATATTGCAGGACTGGGGTTGCTGTTTGGAAAGGCCTTGGTACATACAAGGAGATAGTCGAACGGCTTCTCGCTAGTTGCAATAGCATCTTCTATAGATGATACAATCTGAGGGCGAAAGGTCCTATCTCCTATTACTGTTGACCAAATAGTGAAGCCATTCTCTTTGGCATCCTCGTAATTTGACCGGCATATGCAAACAACGGATGCACCGGCACGCCAAAGGACGTAGGAATACAATATTCCGATGTTTCCAGTTCCGAATATCAAGACCCGGGCCATGTTTTTGTTCTCGGCCTGTGCGGCGCAAGTACAAAAGTCGTGTGAATGCCGTATGAGGAAGCGTGGAATGTAGATTATCAGGGACTTGAAGCGCCGAAATAGGAGGCGAAAAGGGGAAAAGCACAGAATTGTTAATGCGATGTAGTGTTACTCAACATTAGTTACAGTAGCATAAATAATTGCATGGGATATACTTCCGAGCTTTCGTGGGGCCGCGCACCCCCGGGCATAGACTTTCCGCCCGGCTCCCCACAAAGACAACCTTCCAGATTCCGAGCGGATGAGGCGTCAATTGAGCGCTGCAAAGACGTAAAAGAGCATCCCTCATAGTCATGCTGTATGCACTTTCCTTCTTTGTTTTTTTCCAATCCCTTCTTCAACGCCTTGGGACAATTCCACGCACCTGCAAACAACAGCAACCATGCCTAACAAGATTAGAGACGATCTTCTGACTGTTGATAAAAATTCGTACCCTTACATCTTTGAGAAGAATGTAACTGTACCCATCAAGAGCTTGAATGCTTTAGTGCGTGCGAATGTCTACCGACCCAAGAATGTAGACAGGGCTCCTGTTATTGTGACGTACGGACCTTACGGCAAGGACGTACCTTATGAGATGTGAGTCCCACGCTTGGCAGCTGCCAGTTTCCCGTGGTATTTCCGTCTCCTCCTCATCACATCGACTTCCAAATGAGAAAGCGCCGAATACTGACCCGACCACAAGCTTCTCTCCTCATTCATACCACGATATGAACCCAGAACAACGATCCACGCAGGTAGCATTTGAAACACCGGATCCGCAATACTGGACTAATGAGGGCTATGTTGTGGTTCGAGCTGATGAAATTGGCACTGGCCAATCACCTGGTGTTCTAGACACAATGTCCAAGTCTACTTCAGAAGCCTTTTACGGAGTCATTGAATGGTCGGCCGAGCAGCGTTGGAGTACTGGAAAGGTCGGGCTCTTGGGCATTAGTTATTTTGCCGGTTCCCAGTGGAGGGTAGCTGCACGGCGCCCGAAAGGTCTCGCTTGTATCATTCCATATGAGGGTATGGCTGATTACTATCGCGACCGATGTCGTCCCGGCGGTATCCTGGCTCTCGAATTTCTCAAAAACTGGTTCAATCGTAACGTCAAATCGAACCAGTACGGTCTCCCTGGAAAGGCTGACAGAGGATGGGGGCCTGACACTATCGAGGGTGATCTAAGCGAGGAGGAGCTTGCTAAGAATCGACGAGATCAGGCCGAAGAGAATGCTGTGAACCGCTATCGCGATAACGAGTATTACGCTTCAAGAGAATACAATGGTGAAGATATTGAGGTACCACTTCTCTCAGTCGGGAATTGGGGAAGCATCTGCTGTCATCTGAGAGGCAATGTCGAGGGTTTTGTGAAAGCTTCCTCGCAGTACAAGTTCCTGCGCATGATCGTCGGCCGTCATGACCTACCTTTCTATTCTAATGAGGAGGTTCAGGTGCAAAAGAGTTTTCTCAGTGCATTCCTCAAGGGCGATGACTACGAAGGCTGGACTACTGGTCAGATCCCACCTGTCAATCTTATTCTTCGGGACAGTAGTATTGGTTATGATAACCTCAAAGCCGGACAGCTTTACCCTCGCAGATTCGAGCACGAGTGGCCGATTGCTCGGACAGAGTTTACCAAGTACTACCTGACTGCAGACCAAATGCTGACGACGGAACCGCCTTTACAAACTCCCAGCGCTCGGTTGTCATATCAAGCGTTGGGTACTGTTGAGAAGCCTGAGTTTATTCTTTTCAAGAGCGGTCGCTTTGATAAAGTCACCGAGATCACGGGCCACATTGTCGCCCACGTCAATGTGTCAGCTACTGCACAACTTGGCGGGCCGATTCCCAAGGATATTGACTTATTCTTCACTCTTCGCCACTACAAAACCGACGGAGAGGAAGCTTATTACACAGGTCTCATGGGCGATCCTGCTCCGCTGTGCAAGGGATGGCAGAGGGTCAGTCTGCGCAAGGTCAACATGGAACATCCCCTTCACCGTGAAGACCGTCCTCACCGTGATTACTTATCCACGGATGTCCTACCTGTTCTGCCTGGCGAAGTTTACGCAGTTGATGCCGAGTTGTGGCCCACTAATGTAATTGTTCGACCGGGTGAGTGGCTCGCGCTGGAGATTGGTAGTGGAGATACTCAGGGATGTGGCTTTTTCACCCATTCTTCTGACGAGCGGTAAGTTGTTCTTCTTTGAAAATTGAGGAAACTGTGCTAATATAATCCTGCCTAGGGTACCTGAAGTGATGGGTGGTGATAACCATATTCACTTTAATACTCGTTACACCAACTGGGTTAGTCTACCTATCATCCCTCCCAAACAAGCGTAGGGTTCCTGGCATAGGTCTGAGTAGGCTAGATACAAAGGGATGTTTTTTAGGAGCAGAGACAGTCCCTCGGATATCATCAGCCATCTATTGAAGATAGAGACAGCTTATAGACAGGTCAATTCGAACGTGATAGTTGCCTTGTCAAACAGGAGATCCTTTCCGCTGGACTTCGTATCGTAACAACATCAGTTTACCGCAAGGTAGCTATCGGCCAAGAAATCACCTCCCATTTGGAATATGATTCGGCAATAAAAGCTTTTCAACCACAGCCTGGCAAATTATCACAATATGGTAAGCGGAAACAATATCATGCTTTGATTGGCCCGTGTCCGAAATGAAATGCGTGCTCACGGCACGTCCTGGACAGGTCCTCTCTACCAGTATTCCCTTCGAACCCTTTTCGCACAGCTCAGTTTACCCATTCGGCTTAATGACTTTGAAGGTGTAACCAAATATGTCTGTATTATGGAAAGCTTGGGGAAAACACTCCTCGGCAAACTCCGTCCGAGTCGCTAGGCCCTACCAACCGAGTGCTTCCCCTCAACTTTAACAAACGTGCCCAATGATAAACCCTCATTCCCAACACTTCCTCCTGGAGAAAGAGGGGTACCAGACGTCGCACAATGCCTTTTTCCAATTGAATGGGACAGAATCCACTACGACAGAAAGCTAGTGCCGTCCATCAGATACCACCAGCCCCATAAGCGCGCCATCAACTCCAAGTCTCAGCCTCCAGCGATCTACAGGCATGGCGCACATAATATTGGTTTTACAGGTATTGTTCATATTATTGATATCACGATGCAGCCCTGTTTGCCTGTGAGAGCACGACCGGCATTATTTACCACCTGAAACAGCAACACAGACTGGAAGACTTCGGTGATAGATCATCAGGGCCCGATTCAGCCGAGGAGACGGCAAGCGTCACGCTGTACCTCGGAAGCCGGCGCGTGATGTTCAGCGACCTGAGACTCAAGGACGACTTTCGATCTCGATCTCGTATCTCGCCAAAGCACTTACCAGCGTACGAATGAGATTTTTACCAAAGTATGGTCCCAAATGCTCTGTAATTCGAGTAGCCAGGCTTCTCTAGACATCCCGACTGCTTGTATCCCGATACCGGCCGCTGTTCTTTGACTGCTGCTGTCCATACGGGCGTCAATGCCGGTGGTGGGGTTCTTGGCTATCCATGCTGACCTCGTTTGTGGGGAGCCGAAGACTTCCTCCGCATGACATCAAGGGAGTAATACCGAGGAGCAACATAAACGATTTAACATTGGGCTACCTTGCAATAATACTCATGTGATAATCCATTGCCATTTACCGAAACTAGCAAGTAACATAACACATGCAGAGTGAGCTTCCTTTGTCTACTAAGCGAATTCTGCTGACGCATCTAGATGTCGTCCTCCGAACAGCTTATCAAGTCCATCGTCCCTCTCCACGTCGGGCAATTCATGTTTGTCCGAATTGAGACGAATTGCGGCATTATTGGATTTGGAGAATGCGGCATCTGGGGGCATATTGCCGCCTCTGCCACGGTGGTGGAGCGATTCGCTGAGTATCTCGTGGGAAAGCCGGCCGCTCACATCGAACATCACTGGAATGTCATGCACCGTTTCAGCTACTTCCAGGGATTGGCTATCAACGCTGCCATCTCGGGCATCGACATTGCGCTCTGGGACATTAAGGGAAAAACGCTTGGCGTGCCTATCTACGAGCTCCTTGGCGGACCCTGCAGAACCAGGGCTCGTGTCTACGGCCATATCTACGAGAAGACGATCGACAAAGTTCTGGAGGAATGCAAGCGTAAAATGGATCTTGGGTATACCGCATTCGGTCACATCAACCCTTTCCTGGACGAGGGTAACGACCAAGTCTACTTCAAGACTCACATCAAAAAGGTGGAAGACGCAATCAGCAATGTCCGCCGCATGCGAGAAGTCGTCGGTGATAAGGTTGATCTGTTGATTGAGCTCCATCGACGTCTCACACCAGCCGAGGCCGTCACTTTCTGTAACGCTATCGAGGATGCACGGCCCATGTTCGTCGAGGATCCCATCAGACCTGAGAATGCGGACGCCATGGCCCGTGTTGCAGATCGCCTGTCTGTCCCAATTGCCACGGGCGAACGCTTCTGCACCATCTACGAATTTCAGGCTCTCTTTGCTAGAAACGCTGTTGAATACGCTCGCATTGATGTGGCGGTCTGTGGAGGAATCACTGGCGCAAAGAAGGTTGCTGCTATGGCTGAGGCCCATCATATCCAGGTGGTCCCTCACAACCCACTCTCGCCGATTGGACTTGCGGCGTGCTTACAGATTGCTGCTGCGATCCCCAACTTTGCTGTGCAGGAGTATGCGACAGGTTTTGAAGCTGGTGTGTTCACATCAACAGCAGAGCATCTGGGTGCGGATATTGTTGATTATGTACCAAAGGTGGTTGAAGGGTTTGTAGACATTCCCAATGGCCCGGGATTGGGTGTGAATCTCCTTGACAATGCTCAGACTTTGCGTCCAGCATTGCAACAGCCCATCTCAATGAGACCTCATAAAGATGGGTTTGTAGTTGACCAGTAGATAGTTAAACTATATTTGGATAACATTTCTATTACCTATATTTATATCTGGTACACTTTTATAATAAGGCAGAAGTTGATTATTCTCTTAAGCGTTATATATAGTACTATAACTACTCTTACCATTATAGATAGCATTAAACTGAGGATTCCTAAAGGCTTTTACTGCCTCACATCACAGCTCAATGTAGAGTAGACTTTAGCCACTTTTCTTGTTATATAACCATTTAAGCAGAAAGCTCGGCCGCTCGCCCGGGGCGGAGGCCTAGGTTGATCTATTTGACCTCGCCAAAATTGCTCAGTAGGGATAACAAATCCAAAGGTTGTTATCCACGACGTTGATAGCCTTGCTGTCGACCTGGCTGCCGTTACCATCAAAAGGGCAGACGCGGTACAGACCACACTTAATGTCTTAAGCGTCCTCGTTGTCACCCTTACAGAGAGCAACCTTATAGCGGCTGGCGTGGCGGTCAAAATACTTCTTGCAGCGGTCGGTAGTAACCTTATATAGTACGTAGGGGCCCCAGCTATTTGGGGGCGTGAATCCCTAATTATCTGTATCCTGGCCAGCTGTGTTAGAGCGGCAATTCTGGTATACATCGATGTAGCTGTAGCTGTTGTCCCATATGTATGCCTCAGTATACTTATCCAGGATGAAGCTATAGGATAAGAAGTCCTTACTCGCTGGAATAGACCTTAAAAGGCACTTAGGAATCACGTGCATATAGTATTCTTTACACTTATAAGTGTTATTAACTGCCTTGAAGTCGTTAGCTGTAGGTGAGTCCTAAGGGTTAATCTCCTTCTTTATAATTGTCTCCTTAGTATGCTTGAGACTTATATCCGTACTAATTGGGGTCTATAAATTGGACTTTACGAAAGCCTTAGTGTTGTAGAGCATGATGGAATTGTAATCAAATGGCATGTGAATGTCGGCCCCTTCATTAATGGTGAACTGGTCCAGGCTGCCTTCGTCGACTCGATCCGTTAAGACACAGATGTATTGGTCTCGGTCGGGACGTTGGTGCTCGTGAGTGAGTCTAATAAGGTGTTTGAGCTGTCTTTATGTGAGCTTTGTATGCTGATGGCCGTCACGCTAGGGACTGGAGGGAAATGCAGATTCGTACCTCATGGCCAGGCGTACTGGCGTCAAGATAAGCCTTGTAAGTGCCGAACGAAATGAACCTTTGCCAGCCGTTGGGGTAATCGAGGTTGATGAGTCTCTCCCTGGAGGAGGAGATCTTAATCCCTGGGCATAGCATCCATCATTGTACTGTAATCCGTAAGCGAAAGGTTTTGAGCTACAGCGGGAGCGGTTATCATCGAATAAAATGCCAAGGAAGCCACATAAGGCTCTATAGGTCTATAGGGTATATTCAGACTATTAATGCTTAAAGCATTCATTAACCCTATCCTTCTTTCTTAGACTCTTATATATATACTAACAGTATAGCAGGCTTTAACTTATAGAATATTAACTGCCTTAAACTATTTAGCTCTATTAATCTTAAATATAAAGTAGTATTAATACTATTCTATTTTATACTTCTCTTACGTATATATGTAAAGAATATATAAAATTAAATTATTAGTTATATTTCTTTTTAAGTTTCTATAGTAATATAATAATTTATAGTTTTAAATAGAGGAATTAATCTATATTAATTTTATATTTATAGAGTATATAAGGCTTTAGGCTGTGTAATACTTAAACTTATGTCTCTTAATAGTTAATAGTAT